ATGTTTATGTGTTGTGATGTGTTCAATGTTGTGGTGTTTTGTTGTCCAGTGGGGTCGTTCGTGGTATGTCTACTGCCAATGGCGAAAACCGAATCGGCATAGACAGTTGACTAATCCTCCCGTCGGGAATAAGGAATGAGGATCTCAGAGGCAATTACAACGTATGTGAATCAACGAAGTGGCTGATCAGTTGACCAGTTGAGTGCAACTCCTACGCTGGAGTTGAGAGTAGTTGCTACCACATTTAGAGCAGTTTCTCTCCCGTGATTGAACATCCTTGTGGGATTTGCAAGTCGCAGTTGACTAGATCCTGCAGCCCGAGAAAATCAAATAGTCATTAGAGTTTTTAACAACAAAAGGGGGGCAAAGGTACCCAACGAAAATCCTGAACTGCATCACGGTTCTGTAGTGCAATGGTTATCATTCTGAACTTGGCATCCAGCCGCACAGGCTCGGTTCCCGGGAGAGTTCCGTAGAGTGTTATTAGCATGTGCGTTGTGTTCGCACGGTTGGGTGTACCTGGTCGCCTTGTGCCATCTTACCTCGACGAAATAGGGAGAGCGGTGAGGGTCGTTGAGAAACGCTCTTCTGCAAGGATTGAAAACCTGCAACCAGAATGACCGTGGTGTCTCGTTGAATCATCAACTGTCGCATCCGCCCGAGTGATGCTAATAACTTCGCCTCGTTGAGCACAGTGTTTTCGATCGCTCCCTTCGAGCGGAAATGTGCAGCAACGGGCAGGAAACAGTTGCTGCTCGCTTGCGCGTTTCACATTTCCAAGGACATATTTGCTACTCTGAGATGAACCTAATAATGAAAGAGATGATACGATTCTCAACACAAAAGGAGCCTCAATCATCCTTGGTGTCGAATTCAGTCATCTTATGATCTTGAAATGTTCACTATCATTCGCCCGTTCATCATTGGTGTTCTACTCATCTTCAGTACTCGTGCTTTGAAGGTAGGTACTAAGCTGATTAATCTCCCTCCGATTAATCCTCTCAGAGAACCGGCACACAGCTCGGATTGTTGTATTGAATTCTACCTTTCAGTTAGCTGGTGGAGGGGCGGGTGGAGGTAAAGGTGGCGGCGCTGGCAAGAGTCCTGAGGCGAAGTGGCTTACAGCCTTGAAGGGTATCAAGGCGGCTGGCGCCTTCAAGGAAGCTGGAGAAAGGCCCGCTGCGGAAAACAAGAAGTCCTGGGTGGATCCTGCAGCATCTAAGTGAGTTGCTGGCCCATGTAGTGCTGATTTTATCAGTCGGCGTTTGCTTATCAGTATTCACAGAGGGAATAATGGAAAAGGACAGGATGCGAAGCACTTATGAGTATCCACGATGTTGCTGATGAGTTGTCTGACGCAAATCTCCACCCGTGTTGCGCAACCATGTTGAATCCATACGCGACGCATTGCATGTGATTCTTCTTTCGGAGCACAACAACATCGACCTATTCGTACCTCGACTTCAGGACGTAGCATTCAGCCCGAATACAGCGAAATTCGTCTGTTACTTTGGTTTCGGTCACCTTGCACAAAGAGTTCGATGATCAAGCTCGTAGGCGCAAATCAGTCGCTTCACTGGCGGCGCCGGAGTTACATACTGCTGGTGAGCGTGTTGGCACCACCATTTGCCACCTGGTACTTTCTAATTCTATGCATCTTCTATATGCAATCCTCAGCTGTATGAGGATGGCAGTTGGACGACTACAGGGTCAAGTCGAGTTGACCAGATTTGACCGGGAACCTGCGACAGGGCTCGGGTTTGCATGGGATGAGCTGTCTTTCGATACTGATGGGATTCGCTCCTTCAGACTTTTAACGTGTTCGTCGGCAATGCCGACTCGGCATTTCGTGTATGAAATTGCGCATCATCGGCGATGATACAGACGATGATTTATCATTTGAGACGATGGTGCACGATGTGCACTGCACAGTGATACCTACGTCTCGCCGCAAGATGTAGGTACCACTGTGCACCATCGCCGCAAGATCCTTGCGAAGACGTCCGAGTTCTGGGATGATTGACCTCGCTGCAGCATCGAGTCAATTCGGGTAAAATATTAAATTGACCTGCAAATGCTGTAGTTGCGAACGAGATAGCACGTTGCAGCAACAGACGGAGCATCACACTTCGGAGGAGGCTAGTTCTTTTCCCGAGGGTGACATTTTTCCCTTCCAAATTTATCTTAAAATCGATCGGCACGTTATTCATACCACTCCTTTCTCAACCTTGCGCAGATTGCACCACGTGTCCCCGTGACATCAGAATTCTAGTAAGCTGGGTGAGTAGCGATCACCTGTAACCCATGCGGGGGCAAGATCTGTGTGGATGGTGTATCGTGCCCACTGCCGGTCAGAGATCGGTTGCCCGTCCCAAGGGGCCACTAAGTCCGGGTGGGACGATGGAAGTCATCACATCCGGGCATCTGAAGACGCGGGCACTGGCCAAGGCTGGGAACAGAGCAGGCAATACCGCGCGGTGGAACCAGTGAGGGTGGAAAGTGGCTGAGAGATCGGTAGCCTGGGCAATAACAGCGACATGCCAAACACAAAGATCGTTTTGATCATTTCATCATTTCGATATGGCTCTTGCAGATGATACCGGATAGAAATAGTTTGAGGGAATTACGAAGGCAGTGATTCGACTAAGCGGCCCCGGTCGTTTGTGATATCCGGTATTCGTCGTCCATAAGCGCCACCATATGAGTACCTTATGACCTTATGCCACCTTATGACAGTATGAGAGTTAAATTGCCTACGAACCGTCTTATTACGAAGCCCAGTTGAACGTTCGTCCCTCACGTTGTGGTAGGCCCGAAAAGATCCAAGCGCAACTGGGTAGTGCTAACAAGCTTTTCAAGTGAGCCACGGGAAACAGTCATTGCTCCTTTGCCTCCTCCGACATCCTCGGTAACTGGAACGATTCCGGGGGTCACGCTAGTATGAAGCGAGCCTCTTCCAATAGCAACTGAATGCCGATCGGAATGAGCGAAATCAGCCCGATCCGGTGCGTATTGGAACAAGTCTGCAGTTTCTTGAAGGTGGACTCGTGATTCCTGACGATTTAATGTCTCGGCAACAACTACGAGGTCGACCGAAGGGGGGATCTCCAGGCAGAGAGGAGATGACTTTAACGCAAAGATTGACTCAGTGAGAAGAGAGGTGCATGAGTGTTGTTGCTCTTGTCGCATGCAATCAGATATTGAAAGCTTTAATTCTATACAGTGTACAGAGAAGAACTTGACAAGATGAGGAGCATTGTCATCATTGCTGCTTGCAGCCCTCTGGCGACATCGATATCCTTTTCTTGTTCGGTGGAGGGTCTAACAAAAGAGACAAACGACT